CTAACTTAACTTACCTAAACCTAAACTAACGACGAACGAAACAATACGACTAACTTTAACTTAAACTAAACTAAACGAAACTACGACGTACGTACGTACCGTTCCTTACGTACGTACTTCTTACTACTACTCCTCCTCCTCCTCTCTCTCTCTCTCTCTCTCTCTCTCTCTCTCTCTCTAGGGTTCTCTAGTTTTGAAATCATACTGTTACAAAAATGCAGCAGGTAGCTTCCAAGTTCTTCAATGGGCATCTCAAACCCTAGAATCAGGGCAGCAAGAAGGGGTTCTTCCCAATAAACTCATTCCCTCAAGCTGTGATAATACAAGGAAGAAGATTGGATCCATATTTTCAATGCTTAGCTGAGAATGCGTCAATGGTAGGCCCTGCTTTAAGGGCCTCTAGGCCTCAGTTGTGGCCACGGCGTCTAAGTAAAATTCAGTGGGTGGGGTGGTTCCATTTGTTTAGAGGCCTTTGAAGTAGAGCAGATGCCATATTTGCATAAACACTCACTCCAAGTGTATAGTTCCATGGTGGTTGAAGCTTTATGGCACATGCCCTTTATAGGTATCAGATGCATACTTAGAGAGGTTATGCGGTAAAAATGACCGATTTGCATTGGGAATCCTAAATAAAGAGGGGCATTGTGATAGTTTAGCCTCTATTAAGTGCCGAGTCAAATGATAAAAATACTGCTGATAGTACAGGTTTAGCAATATAAAATTGCCCAGTAATGAAAATTGTCGTTGTTTAGGGTTAGCAACACGAAACCCACTTTTTTTTAGGGCTCGCTATGGGCTGGTCGGTCCAGACAGGCTGGCTATGTCCTAGAAAACTAGGGGTTGGGCCATAAAATGTAGCTCAAGGCTGGGACATGGCCGAACCACCACGACTTGAGGGCCAGCCTGGTTCCACCTGACCAAGGTAATCCTTGCCATGATAGGGCTAAGGGCTAGGCCTGGGCCAAGGCCTCTTGGCATGGTTAATGACGAGCTAGACTCAGGCCTACCCAATAGGAACTCAGGCCAATGTAGCCCGGCCCATTGCTAGCCCTACAATTTTCAAATTGTAAACCCGTGTTCCATGCCGCTAACGAATTTTGATTATATCTTTCAAGGAAGTGCTCGACTAAAATATAAAGGAAAAAGTTTATATAAAGGTTACAATCTTAAAATGTAGAATTACAGATGCTCCTCAAAAATCTATCGGAAAATGTTGTTTTAATGTTAAAAAAATCTCTAATCATCGAGATGCATAAATTAAAAAAAGAAGTAGATTTTGAGTCCCAAAAATAATGCATCTTGCAACACATTATCTAGACCGTCTATTTTCAAGATTATCATATGTTTATAAATCTACTTGATTTTAACCATTTTTTTTAGTTTAAATTTTATAATTAGATATGAAAATATATTTTGAGATAATCCTATGAATTTTTTACACCAAAATTACATAATATAAAATTTGGAGGTGGGCCTGTTTAAGCCCAAATATCAATTTTTAAAAACCAACACTCGTAATGTCAAATGGAATAATTTGATACCCTAACTATTTTAATGGACTTGGTCATTTAATTAATATTTTTCCATTTTTAACGATCTCCCTCGACCATTATTGATGTGTTTCACGTGACATCATTGAGTTGCGTTTGCTCTGTCCGTCACTTGAGTTCTTAAAGTTGTAGGCTCCATTTCCCTGCGCATTGTCCATGACTGATTCTAGAGAGAAAGAGAGAGAGAGGAGAAACAAAATTAACCGTGTCCGCATCTTCAGAGAAAGATGAGAATTGGATTCCAAGAAAGCTAAAATCAACACATGATGAGTCTTCAGAATAATTACAATTAGCCGACCGCACCGTCCATTCCCACCGTTCACATATCAAAGGCATACCCCTCCGTTCCCACCATTAACGCATCAAAATACAATTTAATTTGAATTTGACATGACCCAACAAATGTCTGATCTAAGGAAACTTCCCCTGCCTAAGCTGCCTTCTCTCCATATAAAAGCGCACCAACACACCCTCTCTTTCTCACAACACACTCACTCTCTCTAAAACACTACTCTCCCTCACCCCTCTTCTCCCAATTAATCATACACCATGGACAAGGCCAACCCCAATGGTGAGACACTCCATCATGTCTTATCCAACGGTATGAGGGAAGTGCCTATAGAGTCTCCGGAAATGGGAAATGACATTCTAGTCCCACGCCGAGCAGGAGTTGTGGAGATCCATAACCAAGCACTAGGCACCCTGGGAAGTGGGCTAGGTGCACCTAAGCCCATGGGCCTAACCCATAGGCAACCCACTGCTCTCACAAATGGGGACCCCATCATGCGAAATAGGGTCCCACACAACACTAGAGCCCCTCCCGTAATGCCCGAGGTGAGCCCTACAAGACCCTCACCACAAACTCCTACTGCACAGGCGAAGGCTGGCCCTACACAAGCTCCTCCAGTGACTAAAGTGGGCCCCACAAGGGCCGCTTTATCTCCTGATCTAGAGGCCAAGGTGGGCTCTAGACATGCTTCCCCTGCTCAAGAGACCAAAATGGGTCGTACAAAGCCCATCTCTTCTCCTCCAGAAAGCAAGGTGAGCCCTACAAAGACCTTAAGAGATCCTGCTCTAGGGACCGTGGTGGGCCCCAAATCCCCCCTAGCTCCTTCTCTAGAGGCCAAGGTCGGCCCTACAAAGGCCCCACTAGCTCCTTCAGAGGCTGCTGTGGGCCCTTTTAAGGCCCAAGTGAGCCCCTCAAAAGCTAAGGACCACAGAAAGGGCTCAGTGACCTCTCCAATTCAGGAGAAAGGCCTAGACAAGGTCGGTTCCCTTCCTGGCCGAGTTCAATATGATGCCAAAGTGGGCCCTGAAAAAGCCCAGGCCCAAGAGAAAGGGCCCATCTATGTGGATCCCACTACTAATATGGGCCGACAGAAGAGTGAGCCCGCTTGTGTCAGCCCACACGAGAGTGATCAGGTGGTAACCAAGGTTGAAGCAGTTCAAGAGAAAGAAGGTGCTGATAAATTTGAATTGCCGAGGGTGGTCTCTGATATAGATAAGAGATCTAGTGATTACATCCAGCGTTTTAAGGACAAGATGGCTAGGGCTCTTAATTAGTCTCCAAAACCCAAAGTCTTCTTCTTGAATTAAATGGAATTTTCATCTCTCTCATATATATATATATATGGTAATTTGTGGCTCCTTTAGTTGTTCCTCTAGAGGGAATTCGATGAATGTTGCACTCTTCTGTTTCATTAGTTTAGGGGGGAGTTACATAGCTTGCATACAATTAAAACTTCAGGTGTTTTGAGATACTATATATATATATATGCTGACAATGGTGTGGTGAAGCATAAGAAAAATCAGCTTTGTTTGATAGTTTACTACCTATGCAAA